GCATACGTGATAAGTGAACCAAAATTCCTTTTTGTTTGTCATGGGCTTTAAAAAGAGTGAAAGAGGTATTCCTGCATATATCTTAAGATGTTTACTTTTTCTGTAGAAAGAAATAATAGTTAGTGGTAAGAACTCAAAATGAACTTAATGTAGTGATGCACAAAATGTATCAAAGGTTATCATGCCAGCAGCCCAATGTTGACTTTAAGAATTGAGATAAACCATTATATTTATAAGAAGCCTCATATCCACTAAATTGACAAGATTACCATAACCTGAACTTAGTTAAATTGGATTTTTATTTAATGACACAGTTAAACCTGTAGAAGCAAATTATATATATACTTTAACAGAAATGGGCTTGTTCCATTAATGTGGTCTGTTTGTTAATAAAGTTAATAATAGATAAGGAAAAAAAGTTTCAGAAATTGAAATATTTCATGGGGCTTTATTGTTACAGAAGATCTGTTTGCACAAGAAGACAAGGTGTAATATATTATCTTGGAGACATCTACTTAAACATGAATTTACTTTTCATATGTACAGTTTTTATTATCTGGAAATCATTAGCCAGTGGGTGCTTGAAGCAGAGGCAGATTCCATTTTAGTGTTGCCATAGTTACCGCATGAGCTCAAGATGTATAGATATATATAGCCATGGGACTACTTGAAGTTTTAGCTGAGCATGAGCACTGGTTTAGTCCCTCAAGATACAACTAAAAGTGTATGGAGCATAAAATAAAATAAATTTCATCTATCAAAACTTAAACTAGGTAATTTTAGTAGAGGTTTCACTTGTTTTATAAGTGCAGATTTGTTTCAAAGATTTAAAATTAGTTGAAGGCATGGTAATAATAAATACTGAAGGACTTCAAGTAGACTGTGTAGGTTAAAAATGTACATTATATGTTTGTGTACATTGGGAGTTTGTGTATAAAAGAAACAAATACAATTTGTATATTTTCTTCATGTATGTGTACAGAAATATATAACCAAACATACATGTAAATAACATACAAGAAGCATAAAACAGAATAGTTATATATGTATGAGAATGTGAAACATATTTGTATAAACTGGTGTAACAGTGTTTACAACATAAACTTTCATAAGAGTTCTAGGTATTTTTTCTTGTTCATACAATCATTTAAAGTTCTTGTATATCTACTGACAATTGAAACTTGAAAATGCTAACAACCAGAGTCAAAACATAATCCAGAAGAAAACAGATAACCTGAGACAGAACATCTATGAAATAACAAAAATAGATAACTTCAAATGAAACATTGTCAGAACATCAAAAATGGGTAAAAGAGTTTTCTTAATTACTTGTTCAAGCCATCTCTAAACTTTATTAGTCTCAATGTGTGTTCCTCAACTTCAGATTTGAAAACAAAAACTGGCTGTTTAGGCTTGGAAATACTCCCAAAGTGAGATTAATCATCAGAAATACAAATGTGGTTAAATAAACCTGAATAATTTCCTATAACCATTTACACACAGTACTTTTATATTAAGTTACAAGCTTAGAACCCACTGACTGGCAGTCATTAATTGCCTATGATCAAGGCTAATATTAACCGTCCCCCTTTTCCTAAGTAAGTAAAAAAAATGAATGAATAACAAAGGGTAATCATAGCAAAAAAAAAAGTTCTAAAATATGCCATAAATCTCACTCCATGCCATATGCATAATCTTTGAAATTAGCCTGTTTGTACGGCTTAAAGTGTTTCCAGCAAAGCATCCCCCCCCCCTTTATTTACCTCTTAATATAGTTTTCTCAGGTGGTTGTTGCCAGTCAAAAATACAGTACATCTTTCAATGGAAATCTATTTTTAACTATAATTTTTTATCTTCATACAATTTTCAGTTTTACTTTTAAAGATTTAAATCATAGAACAATTTAACATAGATAGCCACGTACATAACAAAACATGTTTTGATATTAAATCCTTAAGTAATATTTTCCACTAAAGAATGTTGGCCGATTTTGTACTGTGTAGTAACTTGTGTAACTAAGCACATGATTTAGTTACAGAAATCACTCACCTCCACAGTGTAAAAATTTGGGATTTATATACTCTACAAAAAGGTTTACCAAACAGATACTGACTAAAACTGAATGGTCATTCATGGTTACTTGGTTGATAGAAAACATGTACAAACTCATATAAAATACTGTTAGAAGAAGTTTCCTGGTATTTCTAATTATTATTCAAACAAATCCTGTGCAGGTTAAGAAGCACCACATTGTAATGTACGTTACATGTCACATGATGAAATTAACTTTATTTAAACAATTTTTTGTTTTTCAAGGACTGTCTTTTGCAACAGTATAACATCATCATAAGTTTTCTTTCTACATAGATCTATATCAAAAAAATAATTGCAGTATTTGTTTCTTGTAATGAGTAATCCTTTTTAGCATGATAATTTTTGAAGCTTATCGTTGTGTATTGGATATATCATATACCTCTGTTTCCTTGTAGCTGTTAATATGACAGGGCAGTTTTAATTTTGCATAGTGATTTTTTCTATGAATTACACTCCAGCCTGGTTGTTTGTTGTTGAATGCAAAATTGCACATTGTCTATCTGTGATGTGTTCACTATGGGGATTGAATCCCAAAGTGTAACATTATAAGCCTTACTACTTACTGGTGAGCCAGCAAGGGGAACTTGTTACAGGAGAGATGGTCTGTTAAACTAGATAAGTGTGTGTGTGTGAATGATGATTATATGTGCTAATTGTATAGTGCTTTTTGTGAGAAGTGCTGAAATAATTAACTTTCTAAGGTGAAATAAGTGAGATCATTCATTCATTCATGCAGTTTGTAAAATTCAATGCTCAGAAAGATAGCTATCATAATTTTTATTTTTGTGATGTAACAGTTATGTTGGTGTAATACACATGTAACCTAACAGATGTAAAATGGAGTAACTGCTGTTATTCTTTGAGGCAGTTATTTAATATGTATAATAAATTGCTTCAGTGTTATTTGCATATTTGCCATTGTCATTCTTTAATAAACCAAACAAATCTTGGCCTTGTTTCAGTTTTATTAAGAGATAAGTTATGTGTGAAACATCAGTTTAAACATTATGTACACAGCTTATTGTGTTAGAAGCTTGATTGTATATGTTACATTTTTGCCTATTGTTAGTCTTATTTTATTGGTAAGAAACAATATGGTTAAATTTTTAGTTTGTAATACATGTACTTGAAATGTAAAGTATTTTTACACAGCATATTGAAAATTTACTTTCATGCAACATTTCATCACATAGAAATAAAAATATTGCTTTATTTAAGTATGAAATTTGGTTTGACCATTTTTGTTTCGTATTTCATGCTATGATATAGAATTATATGTATATATATGTAAAACTATGTATGTAGTGTAATTCCACATGAAACTCGCTGGAAATTTTTGTAATTTTATGAGATATATTATAAGGTAAACCTGAATCAGTCTATATTTTGACTTGACATTTGCTTTATCTGGCAAATCTTAGTTAAAAATTAAATCTAAAAATTTTGAGCCTTGAGTATATGACAGCATACACCATACTTCTTTTTCTCATACAAAAGTCAGTACATGTACGCCATTTATTCTTACATGTTTAGCCATCACATTAAGGTTGACACTGCATCTGTGTTAATCAATACATCTAGGAAGTCAGTTATTACAGTACTCAGTCATGTCACCATTTCAGATTTGTGTACCCAAAGACTATTGAACCTAGCATTACTTTTTGAACAGAAGATTTGTAGTTCAGTGTAGAATGCAAGTAAAGAATTTGGTCAGTTTCACTTTTCAAAACCAGGTGCTTACACTATCATTCATTAGCTATACTGACCTAAGTGGAGGTACAGGCGTTACTGGTCAGTATGAATGATAAGAACTATCTCAAGTGATTAAAACAACTATCATAAGTGTGACATTTAAAGTGTGACTTTAAAACTTGCAAATGTTATCTAAATATGCTTGATCTAGGTGTACAGCATGTCATTAACTAATATCACCTGAATTATTTAGATTTTTGCCACATTTAATTGGAACATTATGGCTTTCATCAAGTAAAATATATCACTTTACATGTTGAGAATATAAAACAAACTCTATAACAGGTTGATTTATAATCTGCCTCTGCCCAATTTAGAATGAGTTGGGTGCATATTGTCATTTTATGTTGCTTAAGCAAACTGAAATCAAAAAGTAGATTTCATAACAAATGTATCTTAAGAGCTTTTTACAGTCTAATTTTTAAAGTTCATTTGAAACTTATTTTGTTCATATATGTGTTGTTTTTTTCAATTTAAATATTTCCAAGAATTTAAAAGCCATTTCAATGGTGCATTGATAATTTTGAAAGATTTTGAATTTTTCTAGTTAATATGAATGGAATTAATTTTAAGTTTTTTGTTAAAAGAATGTCTTTAATCCCTAGTTTGTTATTTCATCCACTTCACTCATGAGGGGCAAACTTACATTTTTGTTTAAGATGAAAGATCTCTTATTGGATTTCATTTTGCAGGTCAATAAGTGACCTCTAGATTGTTGACTGTCATCTTTATTACATTGAACATAAAAGAGGTTAAATCTTATTGGAAGAAACAAACTATTGTAGTTTAACGCCTGAAACTCTGTAAAAATCTGTTTTTAGTTTCCTTACTTTTACATCTACAATAATAAAGCATGTTACTAATGTTATGTCACAGTCACTAAGTTAGTAATACCTAAAAAATAGTTAGCATATCTGTAGTACATGGTATTTGTAATTTTTGCTGATTTTTTTTTCATCATACCAAGAGCACATACTTTTGTGTTTGGTTCTTGAATAGACATTCAACATTTTCAGGAAGATGATTTTTCTAAACCATGGTTATTCCTTCTTAAAGCATGCTGCTGTAATCTGATTAAATGTGGAGCATGTTGGAGAAGGCTTATGAAGACTGTATATTTGAAATTCTAAAAACATCTTTATATATCCTTACAGCTATATGACAGAATCAATACCAAATCTTATTGTCCAATAAAATGTCCACCAACTGATGCTCTAAACAGAGCAAAAGAGGTAAGCTCTTGTGATTTTGTTTTATAGTTTGTATTTTAAAAGTTTTAAAGTGTCTGACTGAAAATTGAAACAAGGTGTTTGTTTTGGAAATGAGTATATTTCTTATTGTATAAACAAAAATAGTGGATAGTCTACCATTACAATGGTTCTGGCTGCTTAGGGTTATAGCTTGAATAATATTTTTTGTATCTAGGCTAAAATCATTCCAATAATTTTATTAAAAAATGAATACTCTGAATAGCTTGCTGTGTCTAAGCTATCAACATGATGGGTTTAGATTTAAATCTTGGTAAATTGTCTGTGGTCTTGACTAGCATAATAATTCTTTTCCAATGAACATAAAGTGAGTAAAAGTACCTGAGGTATTATAGTATTTTGTCACTTGTGTATAAAGTTAAAATCATAAATAATATTCAACGTTAAACTGGTACACAATTAAACACATTTTATGACAATTCTCCTTTGAATGGTTTAGCGTGAATGTATGAAAAATAACATACAGGTCAGTGACCTACTAGCAAGCTATAAATACTTTGGCAATTGTTTTGTAATTCACTCGTGAGGATGACGTTTTAACGTCAAAACATGTAGAGTCGTCGACCTTTTGAAGACCATAAATAGGCCTAAATAAATTGTTTTTAATTGTGTACCAGTTTAACGTTGAATATTATTTATGATTTTACCTGAGGTATCATTAATAATGGTCAGCCTCAAATAGACTTTTTTTTAAAGAAAGTAGTAATTAGTGCATCAATAAAATAGTGCACCTTTTAAATTTCATACCAACAAGAATACTCAGTCTTGCTAAGTAACATGTTACACTATTGACAAAACTTGGCTACTTCAGCCTAATATTACTGCTGTGGGATTTTAAGGTAAAATCTGATTTCCTGATAATTAATAATGGCAGATTCACTTGGTAAATAAGAAGAGGAATTTTGAATCTAATAACTTGAGTTTTCCGAGTAATAACAAGAATGGACAAATTTGGTAGAAATGAATACAATATTTATTATCAAACAGAGAAAGAGAAAACACGGCATATGTGCTTGCACATGAAAGAACAGTCACTTCCACTAGATTTTGCTTAGCTCCACAGCTTTCTTTCTCTTGAGATTGACTTCCATTGAACTAAACATGACAATCTTGAAATAAGTATTTACTTGATGATCTCCTTGTAGGACTGAATGAAGAAAGTGTGCCTGAAGTCAATAGGTAAACTTGGTTTCTTTGTCCAGGTGACAACATCACCGTGTGACTTTTGTTGGCTGTAACATTTAGACAAGGTCAGCTTGGCCAGCAAAGAATATTACAGTGCTAATTCTTTCGACCCATATGCTATATGTTACTGCAATATATTTTCAGGCAGAATAGACATTAACTACTATAGAGAAGAAAAACGAAGCAACTAGAATAAGGCAATATCACTGACTTTCTGGGTCACGTGTTTATGGTAAAACTGCATACAAATAAAATAAATCAATAAAGTGGGTAGAAAATGCATACGATATGATTGCATATCATACTGTACCTAGTCATGATATACCTTTGTTTGACTGAAGTTGTGCCAATCCTGACTGTTGTTCCCAATCATCATAACAATTCCTACATTATGTGTGTAGGCTAAAATTTTCCTGGTCCTCTAAACTACTATCATATGAATCATCGTTGTGTTTATTATTAAAATTATTGCTTTCTATGTCAAACATCATGATAGCCCTCTATGTTAAAATAACATTAAGATTTATATTGTGTCTAAATGCTACAGTGAGGTTAATATTTTGTCTGATAATGAGGTCATAATTATGGATAATTTTAATTTTAGTCATATAGATTGAGAAATGTTAAAGTCAAACCATTAAAGAAATATGTTTTTAGAACATGTTGAAGATTGTGTTCTTTACTAATTGGTCAGGGAACCTACTAGGAATAACACTGTTTTAGACTTATTGTTAACTGCTAATATATAAAGGGCAGAGAAAGTGCAGATTTGGGAACATCTGAGTATAAGTGATCATTTATTTATTAGGTTTGATGTTTTATATCATATGGAGATTAGGAATCATGGGATTTTGGTTCCAGATTTTAAAAAAAGCAGATTTTCAAGAGATGAGACAAGAATTATCTGCTGTGAATAGGGCAACTGAATTAATTGGAGACACAATCAAATGTGGAAAAATGTCTTGAATAAATTTTTGAATATTCAAGATAGACATTTTTCTTATAGAAAAAAAAAAAGGTGGCTGCAAGTAAAAGGGATCATATTAATGAAAAGCATCATAAATCTATGAAGTTAAGATTGACTTAGAAGATTATAGAAGATCAAGAGAGTTGGTCAAAAAAGAAATTAGATAATCGAAGATAGTATATGAAAAAAGGATGGCTGAATTTGTAAAAATTAACTGTAAAGATTTCTTTAAATACGTTAAGAGTAAGCAGAATGTTAGGATGGAAGTAGGGCCTTTGATGGGTGATAAATGAAGGCTCATATCTGATGATTATGGAATGGCTGGTGTATTAAATTATACTTTTTCTTAAATTTTTACTAATGAAGATTTCAACAATATTCTTTATCTTGAACAATTGCTAGATGGAAACAAAATTGAACAAGATTATCACATTAATTCTGATCTTGTTAAAAAAAAGTTTAAATCTCCAGAGACAGCTAATAGTTTCTCAAAGGTTTTGAAAGAGGTTAAGGATTGATTATGTGAGCCACTTGCTACTATATTTTTTTTTTTTGTAAGTCCTTGAGTAGTGGACAGGTGCCAGAGATTTGGAAGTTGGCTAATGTTATTCTTATTTTCAAGGGAGGTTATAAAAATTGTCCCGATAATTAGACATATATTAATCTTCATCAGTGGTAGGAGAAGTTTTTAAAGTCTGATAAAAGATGCCTTGCAAAGTCATTTTACAAAATTTTACATTTTGTTGGATAATTAACAGGGTTTCAGTGTGGAAAAAGCATGCTTTACTAATCTTTTGACATTGTTTGAAAAGTTACTTATTAGGTAGATGAGGTTAAGGATGCTGGTTTGGAGTATCTGGATTTTCAGAAAGCATTTGACAAGGTACTACATAAAAGGTTATATCTATAGGTGAGAAGGTGATATGTTGGCTTATTGGACAGAAAAGTAGCTGGGTGGAAGAAAGCAGAGAGTTGTTATAAATGTAGTTCAGTCAAACTGGATTAATGTCACAAGTGGTATACCTCAGGACCTTGTGTTAAAACCATTGCTCTTTTTGGTTTGTATCAATGATGTAGATGAAGAAATGATTGATAAACTACATATATTAGCTGATCATATCTAAGGTCTTGGGTATTGCTTGCTGTGAGGAGGGTGCTGCTGCTTTACATTAGGATTTAGATCATTTGGTAAGGTGGGCAAATAAATGGCTGATGGCATTTAGTTATCATAAGTGCAAGAAATGAATGCGTTATCACAATTTGAATTATAAGTATATTTTTTTTAGAACAACCTTAACAATGTTATAGAAGAAAGAGATCTTGATGTTTGAGATTATATCTATCGAAGTATTAAATATAAGAATAAAGAGGTTGTAATTTCATTATATAGGTAACTTGTTAGGCCGCATTTGGAGTATGATGCTCTGTCTTGGGCTCCTTACCTTAGAAGGAACAATGAATTGTTGGAAATAGTTCAGAAAAGGGCTACCAGGATAGTACGTGGGATCAAAATGTTGTCGTAGGAGGTCAGGTTAAAATCTCTCAAATTGTTTTCTCTTCACAAAGGAAGAGTTAAATGGGATCTGATTGAGGTGTTTGAGATTGTTGGGGCAAGGGAATTGATAGAGTTTGTGCATTTTTTTTTTCAAACGTAATGATGAGAATGGTAGGACTAGGGAACAAAAACATAAATTTTAGCGAGACTTTTTTGTTGTTGTTGTTCAGTGGATGGGACAGCCAAGATGTTACCCTTTACATTATTGTTTTTTCTCCCAAGATAGTTGTACCACCTATTATAAATTTTCTCTAACTGGCAGCTCATTATAATGAGTACAAGTACCTAAATCATGATATCAAATAGAGTTGTTAGTACACTTGTCAGAGATAACACGACATCAAAGGTCCAGGATAATTATATCACAGTGTCATGACTGCTCATTAGGGTAATACCAATCACCTGCTTTCATATATGTAAAACACCAATTACATGATAAATTTTTAACTAATAATTACTGGATCATTTTAACTAAAACACCTATCACATAGCATCCTATTTTTAACTGATATTTATTAGTGTAGTTTCTCTAAAAGACCTATCATATGGTGTCAAATTATTTTATAATATTTGCTCATTCAGGTGTCTGTTATCACAATTAAAAACACAAAATATGTGGTTTTAAGTAATAATAGGGCATTTGTATTGATTTATGTAGTAAAAATATCTTGGATTTTGAATGCTTAAATGTTTTCACAAGATGTGAAAAACATAACACAAAGCTTTGAACTTTACCAGGATGGATGAACATTTTGCGTTATTATAAACACAAAGCATAAAGTTTTGGATTAAATCAGAATAGTTATTTGAATCTGTGTTATGACATCACCTTGTGTGTTTAGCAAGTGAATGTTTCGATAGTTTCAAATTTTATCATTATTATTGTATAATCATGTTTTGTAATTTCAACTTCATAGGTTATACTACATGGCGTATTTACAGTTGTACAGTGCATCACGATGCCAATAGGACATTTGCACAGGCACTTATAATGGTGTAACAGATTGTTTTTGGTTTTTTTTTGCAAGTTTTAAACAAAATTCATCATGTGAAAATATTATCAGGACAGTTAAACAAGCATGTGCCATAACATTAACTGTGTTCTAGGTACCTTTATTTTGTAGACGTAAAAAAACACAACATTAAACAACTGGTATGAGTATTTAATATGAAATAATTTTTCAATCTTGTGAAAACACGTTAAGTAATGTTTTAAAAGTAAATATAATTTCACAAAGGAAACTGAATTGTCTGGTATTTTTATTTATCTGAAAAGTACAGTGTTGATTGATACATTATTACAATGTATGATTTATAAAAAATACTGAGTGGTTAGAAGTGATATATTCTCAGTGCTTTGTTATTTATTTCTTTTGGTTATCTCTAGGTGTTTGAATGTCTGAATCATTATCCAAGTGGCATGGTAAATGAGGTTGAGGAACTACAATCCATATTATGCAACCACCACTTTAGGGTGAGTTGTTTTTGTTAATCCACTTCTTTAATCTGTTTTCTGTTGTTGTTTTTTATATTATTATTATAATTTGTTTTTCTCCTGGTAATTATCAGTTACTTCTAAAGTAAGCACATTGCATAAATATAGAGAAAATTGCCACGAGTGACTAATGATCATAAATGTTATTATAGCACACTTTCTTACTTACTGAACAAAGATGAAGATCAATCACTAAACTTCCTAAACAATAACTAAGTGATTATCATAATATCCATTGAATGAATATAACACAGTGATAAAATATTAATAATTTAATGTTTTCTCACTTAAGCTTCAAACTGTGACTTTCCAGTAGATCAAATGTGATAAACTAAGTCAAGTTATCTTGATTTAAATAACAAAAATATTCATTTAATACCTAAGTACCTAATTGTAAATATATGAAAAATAACTTCTCTTTTTTTTTTCATGGATATAATTATTACATTTATTTGTTTGCATTTGACATCATTTATTATAAATAATACATTTTAGCTAAAGTACAAATAGTTGCACAAACGTTTTTTGGGACACTTGTAACCACAGTAAGATTTATACCAACAATATAAATAAAAATTGTTTATTTGAAAAGGGGAATAGGAATCATCAAAAGTACTGAAACATGTTGAATCAAAATGCAAAGATTATATTTCCAAACCTACAACTAGGGACTGAAAATAGTGTATATATGATTTTCTCAAGCTACAAATCTCTATTTTGATTTCATTAAAATTGACAAGTACTGTACACATAGAATCAAAATGGGGATTTTTAGCTTAAGAAAATAATGTAGACACTATTTCCAGCTTAGTTTGTTTACTTTACATCATGATTTCAATTATTCTTTTATTCATGTTAGTAACACACCAAGTTCATTTTGACTATAAAGTTTAACCATGAAAAAAAAACCCAGTTAATGGATTAGTATAATAAAGTGAATAAAATATTCTATTTGTAGATTAATTTTATTAAATAATATTTTTCTTTTTTTTCTATCAGCAGTGTTTCTTGATTTTTGTTTGGATAGTAGTTCTCTGAAGCATTTTATTTGGGAAACCAAACCTGGAATGTTATTAGTATATTCTAGAACAGTATCTAACTCTTTAGGTGTAACTATTCATTTCATTTCAAATATCACAAATTCAAAATTCATTATACACAAGGTAACCCAGAAAATAGTTTATAATCACTATAAGAATTAGATCCTTCCTTGTTCTTTTCAACATCAGATGCAAAAATTTGAGTAAGAGTTTGTGAGATATCTCTTGTACTGCTATTCACATTCAGAGAAATAGCCAGTATAATTCCTGGTGCTTGAGGCAGAACAACTTTCAGAAATCACTATTAATTTTATTCCCCCTTTTCAGGTTTAGTTATTTAATTTATTTTTATGAGCTTCCATTTCTAAACTGCCAAGCTCTTGAAGAGTACCATGAAAGTCTAATTGGCTTTACAGTATATTCTTGTATGCCTAGTAGTTATATTTTAATGAAGTTGTATAATGTGTTTATAAATAGCACACTGGCCATGTCAAATTAACATGGTGGAATCTTGTCTTGTGCATAAACAAGTGAAATTGTGAAGCTTTAACAGCCACACCAATCAAATAAATTAAGCTTAATTTATTGTGTTCAATTTAAGGGAAAATGCTTCCCTAGCCTAAAAATTTGAAGCAGCACGTAACAGGCCTACACTGACACAATTTTTGGAAGACAAAGTGGCCTGATGCTTAACTCTGCATTATAACATTACCCTCTTTACAAAAAAAAAAATAATAACAACTATGAATAATTTCCCGCTGTGCTCCTGATATCAGTTATGCTTGTGTTTTACAACTTCTGTAATCTATGATTAAACATTTTCAGCAAGAGTAGATAGACTAATTCGTATTAAAGTTTTACAACAGGTTTTTTCTGAGTGTTATGAATTAAATTATAAAACAAAAGTAATATAGGTCATTAGAGCAAGTGACAATAGTTTTCGGTTCTTTTGTTATGTTTTGGAAGCTGTTTATTTCAAGTTTTTTTTCAACTGAAAAGAAGAAACGTAAATTTCTGTTAGGGTTAAACAGTGCTCAAACTTAACCTTTTTTTTATGGAGCCCGCAAGCAGTTTCAAGGTCCATCTTATAGCTGATTGTATAGTGGAGGTTATCAGAAAAATCACTGAATTAAATAGTGAATGTTACATTGATTGAAAGGAAACTTAAGATATCAACATATCTTAATTTATTTTGTTGTGAACTCGTATTACATGAAAAAACACAAGTCAAACTATTTCATTTTTTCAGGTCACTTTAAATGATTTTTATCTCATATATGATTTTTAATTTCTCTCTAAAGCATGGTAAAAAAGTAACATTTTGTTCCCCTTTAAAGTAGTGTCCTTTAATAATCAAAATAAATAATGAAAGAAAATCTGGGCATCACTGTGAGCATAATCTTTTCTTGTTCCCATATAACCCATTACCATCTAGCTGACACATATTTGTCAATAAAATGTCAAACACTTTTGATGGAGAAATGGAAAAATCATACAATTTACATTACCACTAATTTTATAGCAGTCAGTTCTTTATCAGTTCTTTCATATCCTGAAACGGCTGTTAGTTAGTCATTCATGAATTTGAATTTGTAATAAGCAAAATCCTCAAATTAGCAACATATGGAAAACATGCAAATAGCTCTAAAATGATTTAAGTCATGAGTTAAACTTAAGTTAGTGTCCTTTTCTAATCAAAATAAATAATGAAAGAATTTTTTGGGAATCATTTACATTTTGTAGATATCACCACATTGTTGTTGCAAAAGGAGTTTGTACTTATGAGTAAGAGTCTACCCGTGACAGACCAGTGTTGCCAAAATATATTCAGTCCAAATCGCAGAGAACACGAAATAAAAGTTGACCACATCACACAAAAATTGACCAAAGTTAAAAATTTTCTTAAATGAAAAGAACCAAATGTTGATTATCTGAAAAGGAATGTAGCAGAAAAAAAGTCAATGGGTCTGTGAGTATAAAGAGGAAAACAGGAAAAGTTGTTGCAAGGGCAAGTGGGAATAACTGGTTACACTGTGATGAAAACAGTGGCTTAATATTCTGTAAGGTATGTTGAGAAGAGAATGTGAATCTGTAAACTATTAGGGGACTATTAGTGATGAAGAAAATGTGAATCTGAAAACAATATTTGTGGTTTATTAGCATGAGCAGCCTTTAATTCCTCACATGTTTCATGGCAAATTGAAAATCTGTTGCCATAGCAATTAATACACCTTTTGCTAATAGACCACTAGTAGTTTGCAGAATACCACCTCGTGATTGGCCAATCAAAGCTGGGTATCTAGCCTATTTGTCAGGCAAGCATTTAATGTAACTCGAATCAGGATGCACAAAAGTTATGAAAATTCTATTATATTGAGTTTCAATGTTTTTAATAAAAACATGTCTCTTAAAACATAAACCAAATAAATATATATATTGTGTCAGAAAAGGCTTAAAATATCCGAAAAGCATCAGAATTTTTCATCACCAAAAGACTAATACTCTTACTGGAAATAGATCTAATCTTTGGATTCCACAGCCATTTTTTTCCATTGCACAATTTATGTTTTTAATAACTGCTTACGTAATCCAAGTGTTAAATTTTTACACACAACATTCTGCATAAGGCTGGTAGAGTAGCAAAAGGATGGAGAAAGTGAATTGTAAGACCGTCACCTGGATATATTTGTCAGGTCATGCAGGGGTAAAGCAAGACAAGAAAGCTGACAAGTTTGCAAGAGGAGCTCTATATCCAATCCAGCACTAGAAAGAAGAAAATGGCATCCATGGAAGGTCTTCTGCTGAAAAATAAAGTAAAATAGGTGTAGTTAGAAAAAGCAAAAGTTGGGTAATCCTTAAGACAACTTACAGCTAGAAGGATACTACTAACATCAATAAACAAACTCTCTTCTATCTCCTACAAAGCAGCTGCCTCCACATAAAGGGTCAGCACCTATCATAGTAAGCCATGGATTATCAACTAGCACTCAACATAACCTACTAATCTGAGCTAGATCTCCATTTATTGCTTGAATTCCACATATATAACTTCAAATCAAGTGCTTTAAACAGTTTGACTGTAAATATGTTCAAACAAACAGCTTTTCCATCATACGTGTTTTTGTTATTGTTAGTCACAACCCCTGCTAAATCACAAATATCATTAAAACATGACCATGAGGTAAAAAAGTTATTAAAAAATAGTCTAATCAAATAAAATAAGTTTTAAAACAAGATTATACAAACAAGATAGGGATTTAACTGGACATATCACTTGATCCAGCTAATGATCACATAGCAGGCTAAACTGCCTCGACTTTATATGGAGAATAAAATCTGTACATTACTGACTGCCTCACTGGTAAAACAAATAGAACTAGAATTTTCAATCGTAAAAAGTATTCTAAAGTAAACTAAAGGAAAGGTATAATGATAAAAGCAAAGATTCTATTCAAACATCAAGCTTTCAGTAGGCAAAGTGAGGAAGTCGATAATGTAGGGATTTTATTCTTCATGTAAAGTCGAGAAGGCTTAGTCTGCTATGTGATCATTAGCTGGATCAAGTGATATATTCACTTCCATCCCTATCTTGTTTGGTTCCTTTTTTCTAGGTCAATACCCAGCCCTACGTAATTTTTTATTTTGCAATAAATGTTTTTCCTAATACGTGTTTGTTTACTTTTTTATAAGGTGGCATATGTGAATTACTAGGTCATAGAGTGTATTCTGAAGCTTTATAAATGTTGCAAAGAATAATAAAATAGGTAGTCAAAGATTGTGATGACTGTTTTGTTCTATCAAATGATGATAACATTTATAGTTACTGCTAGAACTAGGTAGGTAGGTAGGTTTGGCTATTTACTAGTTTTTGACTTTGGAATGCTCTATCCAGAGCATATACACTGAAGATAGAGCAACTATGCCTGTTAGCTCTTCATATCTAGCTTTTGATGACTTGTAGAGAAGAAAATCCAGATGACTTTTTTTTTATTACTTTAATACAGGCATTCGTACCATCCCTACATAGAGAGTGCTTGCACACTCTCTGATACCCCATAAAAATAGCTCTTACGTATCTCGTATTATTGGAAGGCTTTAAGACAACATATTATTAACTTATATTCAATTATCAAATTAAGTTTTCAAAAAGTATAATATTGTGTTGTCACTTTGACAGTGTTGGTATGATTATCAGAACATTATTTTCTTAATCTGATCTAGTTTACTCCTTTTAAACTTCCATTGTAAGAAATACTGCACTTTACTGCCTTTGTAGTGTCATATCAACATGTGTAGATTTTTTAGAAAAATAATTCCTTTATTGAGTTTCAGGCAAGCCAACAAGTACAGTTAACACTATACCTTCTTTGTTATCATTCATTTGTGGGTTTCACATGTATCCTTAGTGATATATTTCTCTTTTTATCTTAAAATTCATTGGTCTGTTTCACATTCTTAGTTCTAACTGATAAACCCTCTTTCTTCCTTTGATGGGTTTTGCATAAGTATTACTCACAGATAAGTTTACTTTCTTCCTTCACATTGATAGTGTTGGTCTGATGATCAGAACATTATTTTCTTAATTTGATATAATCTACTCGTTTTTAATCTTGAAGAAGAATTAGTAAACTGTGTGAAAGTGCTTTGATTTTTTTACCAAAATTCAGGAACTTGTATTGCTCTAACTTAATATAAAAAAAATCTGACATGAGAGAGAGAGAATTCAAGTGTATGAAAATTATTTACCCCATTCATGTTTCATACATAAAATTTTATTTCAGGCACTACTACAAGCACATGATGTTGTTGCTCATGAGGTGTATAGTGAAGAAGCTATCCGAGTAACGCCACCTCCCATCATGCCTTTTCTAAATGGAAACCAAGAAATGGAACCACAAGGAGAACCACCAGTTGAAAATGTTACACGAGTCAGGCTTGTGCAGTTCCAGAAAAACACAGATGAACCCATGGTAAGAGACTGCACTTTTACTGCCTTTGTTGTGTCATATCAATATGTGTAAAGTTTTTAGAAAAATAATTCCACAATTGGGTTTCAGGCATGCCAACAAGTGCAGTTAACTTAATACTTTCTTTGTTATCATTCATTTGTGGGTTTCACATGTGTCCCTCAAGATATTTATATCTTTTTTTATCTTAAAATTCATTGGTCTGTTTCACATTCTTAGTACTAAAAGACAAACCCTCTATCTTCCTTTGATGGGTTTTGCATTAGTTTTACTTGCAGATAAGTATACTTTCTTTCTTCCTTCAGTAGGTTTGAAATACAAGTAGTTCGTGCAGGTAACTCCACTTGTTTTTTTTAAAGACTTGTTGTTTCGTTTAATGTGTGTACTGCCTACAGTCATTGATGAGTTTCACACACGAGTGGTATTTCCATAAACTTTACTTTCTCCTTTAACATTCATTGGTGAGTTTCATATCTGTAATAACTGCAGATAATTCCATTTTCTTTCATAACATTCTTTAGTGGACTTCTTACTTACATGTATTGTGGGTTTCACACACTGTTTTTAGGCAACTTTGTTTTGTTTTTCATTCATGCTCATGTATTTCAAATATTTTAACTTTTTAGGTTCAGTGATATTAATGTGAACTGGTTTCTATTACAGGGAATCACATTAAAACTGGATGAGAGAGGAAAGTGTATTGTAGCACGAATTATGCATGGAGGAATGATTCACAAACAAGGTATTGTCTTTTCTTAGTAGACTTAAAATTAATCTGTAAGTCCATTAGACGAGTCTTGAAAATGCAGCTAATTTTAATGTTTGTTGACCCATTTTCTCTTGTTACTAACTTTGAAACAAAAATGCAAGAAAAGCCATACTCTTTTAATTTCTATTTGTTTTTAGGTCAGCAGACACCCTGAAATAGTTTAAAATTAATGATCTTTCTACCTTTCAAATAATTTATTTTTAATCACCATGAGAAAACAAAATATTACTAGTGTCAAACAGCCTCAGCTCTTTTTATAAATGATAACAAAATGTTTGACTGTTAACATATCTTTCAGATTATTGCTGTTATTCTGGAAAACTAATACTCATTTCTTTGTCACTTGTCATGCAACTTCCACTGAACTAGAAGCCATTTTGGCTTTTACAGAATTGAGGTTGAGTAACAGTGATAGACTGAAAATCGATAAAACTACACTTATATTCAGATTGAAAGGACAAATTAGCACTATTTTGTTGAAAACTATTGTGGTTTTTCCTCCTAGGGGGCTATGAATGCCATATTATGCTTCTACAAGATTCAGGATCTACACAAGCACTACTGACTTTGTTTTGAGCTTGCTGAGATCAACTCAAAATCAAATATATATTTTTATGTTTATGTATAAAATTAACTAAATAAAACCTTTTTTATTCAATAAATTTCAATTCCAATATGGTACCTACCCTCTATATGCAAAGTTTTTTTGCATGCCACAAGCCTTGAGCTCCCACGTACACCATGATAAACATGGTTCACTGTGTCTCGCATTTAAATCATGCAACAACTCTGCACCAATAGGAGTATGACACACCTTCCCCCAATGCATGTGACTCCCTCTATTCGATTCTACCAAACTATCACTTCTCGTTAGGCAGTGATCTAGTGCAGACATTTTTCAATTGTGTTCTTTTCACATTTTGTTTAATGTTTTGTTTTTTGCAATATAGTAATTTAATTTAATTATTCTTTTTTTGAGTTTGTTTTCTGTTGTTTTTTGCCACAATAACTTACCTTTGTTTATAATTTTTTCTCTCTTTTTTTTAATTCTTCACAGTTTATGATGTATTCTGAAGTTTGTGTCACAACTTCTGATATTCTTCCAACTACTTCCAGTGTCCTTACACTGGCTTCAGGTCGGAGGGTCTCGACTGAGGATTTTTCGGCTATCATTCGTTGGGAGATTGATTGTTATGAGTCGACCTTATTTTCCCGATAATGTTTGACTTCCTCCTGAATCTTCCAAACCTGTTCATGACAAGAAGGATTTTGACAGCCTTTTTCCTCCACCTAACTATGCCATGCCTTCCTAAGTCTCTCCTGTGAAATCTGATAGGCCTAACTCAGCCTTTTTGGATATGATTTCTCAGGTGTGTTCTGTTTTATCTATTTTCCCAATTTCATATGATCCTGTTCATTCCTTGTTACATGACACCTATCCTTAGAGTACCTTGTTTTCCCTCCTTCTCTTGACATCAGGGTTCATGCTGAGCAGTTCATTTCTCAGTTGAGAGTGGGTGTTAGCATGCCTTGCCTTCCATGGGCTTCTGATCATTATGCTTTGTCTTATCTTCAAGGTGATCAACCCTTTTTCAACTCTCAGCAGTCGGAATCACCTCTGCTTGTGTGTGTGTGTGGTGGGGGCTGTTCCTGAAAATCCTATCCATTTATCCCACACAATATTTTCGTCTTACCCTTACAGCTCTCCTATGGTATTGGTCCACCATACACCTCCTTTCCTAGGCACTACACTACTTCCCAGAGGGGTTTGGGGGGGGATACTTTTTTCCTCATTACTTCCACATTGGTGCGATTGTCTTCTTCAACCCTATCCCTTCACATGTGTTTTCTTTGCTGTTGGGATATTATTGGGAGAGATGCTGTCTTATCACAGGTTCATCTGCCTTTCACTTATCTTCTTGACTTATGGATGACCCCTTTTCTCCATTGGCCTGTTTTTAAGAGATGTTCCTGAGTCTGTGGAATATGTGACACAACATTTGACTGGCATCCTGTGATTGATCTGTTCTGCCTCAACCACTTTTTGGATCTTCCCTGTTTTACCATGAAGTCCTTTTCACACTGCAGTGGGCTTTTTCTTCAGGACTGTGGATGACCAAGATAGATATCTCGATTGCTTGTCTCCTTATTCCTGTTTCTCATCAGTCAAAACTCTATCTTCAGTTTGTCCACCACGTGGTTGTGTATCAGTTTTGTGCCTTGCCTTTCGGGCTTGATTCAGCATTGCATGTCTTTGGTCAGTGGTCAAAGCCTTTACCCGACAGCTACATGCTCGTGGGTTGCATTTACACCACTACATGGACAACTGGTTCCTTTTAGTTCGTTCCCAACTTGTGTCTTCACAACACATACATCTTCTGCTGACAGAAGCAGCTCATGTAGGTTGGATTCTCAAGATGGAGAAGCCTTTCCTTTTACCTACCCAATATCTTATCCTCTTGGGTGTATTTTTCAACACCCACCTCAGTCGGACCAAACCTTCTTCACTCCACGTTCTTTCGATGGAGCTTTCAGTTCTCCATGCCCTTGCTGCACCCTCTCTTTCTACTCATGAGGTTCTATTGCTTTTGGGGATTTGAGCTTCTATGGAAGCACTTATCCCCTTGGGTCAGGCACGTATGCATTCTCTGCACGACCAAGGGAATCTTGTTCAGGATCCCTTGAACTAATTAATTATCCTTCCTCCTACCATTTTAGACGATCTGCATTGGTGGTTGAACAAGGAGAACATGATGATGTGTGTACCACTTCCTACACCTCACTCAGATTTGCATCTGTTCAAGATGCCTCTCTCCATGGTTGGGGGTCATGGGTCAATCACCAGGGGGCTTCCAAACAATGGCTCTCCATCCAAGAGGTCTTCCCACATCAACATCCTGGAGCTTCTAGTGGTATGGTGTGCTTTGGATCATTTTATTTCTATTGTATGGAACCAAATCGTCATGATCCATTCGGACAATTCTACAGAAGTAGCGTATATCAATCACCAAGAGGGCATCCATTCCCTTTGTGGTTAAATATTAGAACTCCTTTACACTGGGGATACATCTCTTTGTGTGTCATGTTCCAGGTGCTTTCAGCCTCATGGCAGATTGCCTTTCCAGACCAGATTAGGTTTATCCAATACTTCTCATCTGGATGTATTTGCCAATTTCCTCAACACCAAGTTATCTCTTTTTTTTTTGTCTCCAGTTTCTTATTCTCAGTTCCCGTGTCAAGTCTTTCTGATTGCTCCTTACTAGCTGGCACAACCTTGGTTTCCTCATCTCATTCATCTCCAAACTACCTCTCCATTTCCTCTTCCTCTCACTCCATTCCTATTCCATCAACTTCAGTCACCGGTCCTTCATCCTGCCCTTCATACCTTCCAACTTCACACCTGGCATTTATCAGGTCCCTGGAAAGGAGATCTGGATTGTTTAGGCATGTCGCTTCCCTTTTAGCACAGTCTACTTACCCTTCCTCTCTCGAGGTTTATCAATATAAATGGAATGTCTTCTGCTGTTTATTTTTGAGTCAGGGTTTTCCCCTTCTCAGCCCACCGTTCCTCTTATTATGGATTTACTTACCTGACTGTTTGATTCTGGGGCTTCTGTCTTTTCCATAGCTGGTTGTCGTGCACCTTTCAATTTTCTTGGTACTATTTAATGTTTTCCTCTTCTACCATCTCCCTTTTATTGCATTCCTTCCAGATCCATAGATCTCTTCATCAGTTGGTTCTTTTAGATTGGAATGTCACTATTGTTCTTCACTGCCTTACACTACCTCCGTTTGAGCCTTTGTCCTCATGTTACTTGTTTCACTTATCCTTTAAGACTTATTTCCTACTCCTTTTAGCCTGTGGGTGTTGTCAGTCTGATATTTTTGCCATCAATGTTTCACATACACCATACCATTCCACATATGTTCTCCTTTATTCAGATCGATTTTTGCTCCCCAAACTTCCGTGGCTCCTGAGGGAAATTCTCCCTTCTCACTGATTTTGCTTCCATCTATTTCCTACCTTTATTCTCGGTCTGATCTGACTAGACTTCTATGTCCCATATGTGCTCTTTGTTGTTACATTGCCTGCACAGCTTCTTTCCGTGGTTCCCATTCCCGCACTTGGCAACAATCCTCTTTATGTGACCTTTTTCCTTCTACCCTTACAAGTTGGGTTCAGCAACTGATTAGATTTACATATTCCTCCCTATTTCCTTCTTCCTGAAATCTCTTCCAGGTGTCGTCACATCAGATCAGACACCTAACCTTTTCCCTGGCATCTCATCTTTGTTGTCTATTTGAGGAAATTCTTCAGGCGGGCAAGTGGACTACACCTCATACATTCATCTCCCACTGTCTTCATTAGGAGGCTGTTTCTTCCTTGTCTGGGTACTTCCTTCCACCTGTCACCATCCTTCAAACTTTGATGAGGCTATGACTGGGGAAATTATCTTTTCTATATATAAATTTTCCTTTCAGTGGCTAGTCCTATTTAGTTTAGGATCCTGCTCAAGGGCAAGTGTTGCTTATCCAGGTATGCTATCTATTTCTCAAATCCACACTGTACCACCGAGATGTATACCCATGACCAATAACACGCACTGTTGAGATTGGATGTTTCACAAGATCACTAGTAGGTTTCCTCCCAATATATATGCTTCATAAACATGCCTGTTCTGGACCATACTAACCCATGGATTTACATCAGTTAAGCAGAAGGGGATGGCTGCTCATCCCTGCTATCCCTTCGAATGAATAAATTAGGGGTGGTCTGCTCATCTAAACATGGTTTTTGTGGTCACCTGTTGCACCGTCTCCAATGTTGGCATTCCTCTGGACTGTCCACTGCATTTTGTCCCCCCCTCGTTCTTCTAGTGGAGTATGGGAGTCCTTGCCACTTTCCAGTTCCGAACCACTGGAGTGCTGGAATATGGAGGAGTCCTCCTGAATGTGATAACCTCCATTCAGTAGAGAGTAGGGCACTGGTGTTTAGCTGGTGTAGATGGTGTTCAATCCTCCAGTCATGTGCTCCACCTCTGTGCGGTGGGTCCCAGAGGTTGATGTTCCACCCAGCTTCTGTGCAGTTCTCTCCAGAGGGTGAGGTTGCATATATTTTTTATAGAGGCGATCCATGTGGTGAGACCCAGAGGTTGATGATGTACTCCAGCTTTTGTGCATTCCTATCCAGAGGATGATGTTGCTTTGGAGTAGATAAGTCACATTGCAGTTCACACTCCCGATTTGGATCCCTCTTTCTACCATCACCTGGATATTGGTTCCCAGTGAGTGGTTTTGGATTAGAGTTGAACTAATCAACATAAATCCTCACATATGTGTTGGTTGTGATTCTTCATCCTAACTCCAGTTTTGTAGTTTGCCTATTATCTACCTCAGTGTGGTTGTTCCTGGAGGTTGATGTTGCACACACATGCACTCCAATTTCTGTGCGGTTCTATCTGGAGGAGGATGTTGTCTAGCAGTCCACCTTAGAGTGTTTTCCCTATCTGAGGCTGCTGTTGCACTGTGGGGGTTCTAGTTAGATTAGGTTTGGTGTGAGTGTAACATTCACATTTGCACATTCCTTCTGGTCATCATTCAGATGTCACAGTCCTAGATGTATGGTTGTGATTGTGGATTTGCACACAGTTTGTTTTCAAAAGGATATGCTTCCATTTTATTCAACTTCAGGTGAAGACGGTGTTGACCCTCCTCATACCACTGGTCAGACGTTTTTTTACCTGATGGCGCTTGGTTTTGGACTAGAGTTGGCCAGCTGCATATGGTCCAACATGCTCTACCCAATCTATACTTTGGGGCATATGCCTTTTTGTTTTCCCCACATTTTTGTCTGTAGATGGTTCTTCTACAGTCATTCTTCATCAGGATTGAGATTCAGGTATATTGTGGTTCGAATTTGCACCCAGCTGATTTTTCTCTCCCTTTTTAGTTGTGCTCCTCCCACTTTCCACCCATGTATGTTCCTTTCCCAATGGGGATCACAAATCATAGGCGTTCTTTGAATGCTTTCGAAGGATATTTCTTTATATCCCTTGCATCAGTCCCTCCATCTATTCAATATAGGATTCTAGCTATATGTGTGAGCGGAGGTAAGGTACTGTATTGGAAGTTGTTATTTTCCTATACTGAAAATATATTTCCAATACAGTACCTTACCTCCGCTCACACATATAGCTAGAATCCTA